TTTTCTATTTCTCGCGATTAAGAATCTATCTCGATCCCATTATCAAAATTAACTTTTACAGCGGAAACATCTTGGTTTGACCTTTATCATCGCGTCAGCTTAGAAAAACTTTTATCGTTTAAATGGTCTATCTTGTCTCAGTCGTAATACCGTTGTATTAAACAATACTTAAATTCAATACGCGAAATTCCTGACAGCAATGCTGAGCGAGGAGATGACGATGGAAGGAGATAAAAAAAGAGGAAGAGGCAGCGCCAAAGGAAGAGGAAGAGGCAGAGCCAAAAATTAGAATGCTAATGTTCAGTGTTTATTATCATGTTCTTTTAATTATTAGTTTCTTACTAGACTAAATCGTAGGCTATACCTTACGCTTATAGGTATAGGCTAAAATTACATCAAAGTCAGTCTCACTTATACTGTCATTACGGTGTATTTTAATTTCTATCACATTAGGCGACGGTGCGCGTACTGAATAATTCTATAAAAAAGTCTACGCGCTAGCGAATTTTTACGAACGTTGATCATTTCTCGTATCGTTGGCACGCGATCTACGTATACTTTTTTTCAAAATTGCAGCTTTTACCGCCACAGGTACTACGCCTTTGTTTCTTCTCCTTCATAACTTGCCTAAATTGCAGCTTTTATCGTTTTAAATTTCTCGTCGTCATTTTCGTCAGGCGCATTCTTAGCAATTTCTATTATAGCGCCCATGACCTCCTGAAATCCTTCCAAATCTCTAATATCCATTAATTCCATTATTTCGCCGTCATCCAATAACTGCAATAATCAATCATTTATAAGCATTAAAAAGAACATTATTGAGTTTGCCATGAAATTGCCGCTTTTACCTCATCAAATACATCGTCATAGTCAGTACTCAAAGCCATCAAAGCAATTTCATTTAGACGCCGAAATACGTCTTGCATGTCCGATTCCATCTGTAATAATCGATAATTTTCAATTACTTGAAGAAAATTAATAATGTGTTGATAATTGGAAAAACTATTGATTGAATACGCATACTTTTTAAATTGCAAAATATTAATTAATTTGATATCTATGGTTGCACAGAAAACAAATGGGGAACAGCTGTAATGAAATATCTCTAGATAATATTTTATCATTCATTCAAAAGAATTATTATTATGTTTTTTTTTCTAATACTGGCACCCTCGTAAATATCATCGTCATATCTCGACCAGTTTATGCTCAAGTATAGACAAGTTCATTCAGGCACATACTGTCCTACTTTGCTATAAACCATGTGAAAAACTGCTAAACTGCGCGCGCAGCCGTCAGCTGATTTCGTAGCTGATCGCTGACAGAAGACGTTTTTAGGGATCGAAAATACATATCGAAGATAACGATTTTAAAAGAATACTCGAGTATGAAAAGACAAAAACCTGTGAACGATAATACATTAATTTCATTATATGTCAACGTTTTAATTTGTAGATTATTGAGATATTTCAGGTAATACGATAATCGATTGTACATTTACCGATACTTCCAAATCCAGACTCAGATTTATAATTCAGGCAATCATTTTTAAAATACTTTTGTTTTTATATAATAAATAAACTTTGAAAAAAATGAAATGTTATATTGCGAGGGAAAATTCTCTTACTAATACAAATGAAGTAGAAACCAAAAATGACTAGAAGTACCGATTTTATAGAGCGAAAATAAATTGAGTACTCAAAAGTATCGATTGAAAAATCAAATATTATTTAAAGAATCGAAAAGAATTGCTGCATTCTAGGCGTTACATTTATTAGCATGCATGCTAGCTATTTAACTTTTGACACTTGTTTTTCTTGGATCACTATTCACATATTTTTTACTCTATAGTCAATAAGCAATACCGTCTTTAACTACTGCAATATTACATTTTTTCAAATTGACTTTCCTAACCCGGATAATTAATTTTACCTTTGATCGTTTCTGACCAGTTTAATTGCTAAGAAAAAAGGTACGGCCCAATAAATAACTATATGAGTTTCTCAACTTTCGACTATTACAAGGATAGTTATTTACCTTTAGTTGCAGAGAAGTTGCTCTAACGATGTTGCTTGGTGCGAGAGTTATCACCTCAAGATAATGGTGTGACGTACAATTTTTCAAATTAATATAGCAGACGGAGTCGATCCTTTTTGGAGAATCTAGCCTGGGGTAAATCAAACTCAATTGTCTAGTAATTACTTGTTTTATGAGATAATAGAGTTTCGAGGGACAATAAAACGTAAAAATGGCCAACGTGTTTATTTAAGATAAAGGAACACACATGTCACTTATGTTAAAGCCTGAGAGAGAAGCTACTTGAAGAGAACATTGGCCCCGGCAAAATATCCTCGTACACTGAATAATTTACCGAACCTCGGTATTTTGTTTGTTTACATTACTCGGGCTAATTCTCCATTATAGTAGAAGCTATTCAAGTTACAGTTACATAAAATTTTTATAAACATCGACACTCTCCTTGATAGAAGTTTTCAACGTAAATAATGGCCAAAGGACCAAAAACAAAGTATATAAAAATTTTAAATGAATGACCATTAATTGACCGGTTTTTGGAATTTTTGTCTTTGATACAATTGTCACAAATTTAGAGCGCATTTTGAATGACTTAAAAATTCAAGAAATTTAGACTAATTTTCAACAACTTCGAATTCGATATAATCATTTCAAACCTTTACCACTAGATGTCGAGTACCTTTATCTGTAAATCTGCAAGTGACAAAGTAAAAATACTTGCTTAAATTTGAAAAGTGCGTTAACTATTTTGTTCATACACGGACAACTTATGGCAGACTAGATGGAAATTTTATAAGTTAATCTGCTAGTGGCAAAGTTAAAATAATTGTATCAGTTAAAGCATAGTTTGAAAAAGGGTTCATTCTTGATGCTCTTTAAACTTGAGTTAAAAAATGCAATTTCATTGACGTTCTACATTCAACCTGACTTGGTTTCTCATGCTTAAGTTTTCATTCAAATTCGGAATATTTATCATTAATCATCATTTGAAAATACAGAAACTTTTACCATATGATCAGTCAGGATTACGTTTCCGTTTATTTTACCATCAAACGAAATTGTCCCTGATTCGAACTCAAAATAAAAATAATTATTATTCAATTTTTATTTTTAGCTCTTTAAAGACGATGATATCGCTTTAAGCCTGCGTCACCAGATGGCGAGAATCTTAATCCGTGAAATCTGCAAGTGGCAAAGTCAAAATAATTGTATAAGTTATATCACGGTTTTGAATAAGTTCATTGTAAGCCTAAGGGCCTAGTTTGAGCAGAGACGAAAAATCCTAATTTTTAAAAAAATTTTTAAGATTTTCAATCGAATATGGCTTCCTCTTTACCATTACGTTTCAAAGTAAATATAGGCCAAGTAATTGGTGAACAAAGTAAACATTGCCTTGCTATGAAAATAATTGTTCGCACACGACAAATAATTCTGGAAGCGAGGATGATAAAGACATACTATGATCCATGTACACGCAACTAACGTGCACTCACATGCTTGTATCTATACACGTGAACTCCTTTGCCAAATTTCGATCAATAATTCTCGACTGCCCGAAAATTCCTTACCTAAATCTGCATATCGTACATATCTGTTTGTAAAATATATATATGAGAACGAAAGCCACACACGGCAATGTCTCGACCTTGAAAAATTTTTCAAGCTCACGTGTCTTATCGGGCCAAAGCGCTCGATGTGTGCATGTGCATGTATATATATAATAACAGCCCGAGAAGAAAACGATGAGTTTCGATCGTTGGTCTGCACGCACGCCTTTTTCCATTCATGCAACAGACTCCGTGCTGCTGCCTATATAATATACACGCTGAATGAGAAAGAGAGAGAGAGAAAGCGTAAAGTTCGGCCGGAAATATTTTATTGATTCGTACAAAATGCAAGTTATATATAGCACATATTTCCATTCATATAACCGACTCTCGCTGCCGCTGAATGAGACCGAGTGTATGTGTGTATAAAGAGTTCGGCCGCGCGGGAATGTTTTATTGATTTGTACAAAGTGCACAAAGCTATATAGGCATAGCCAAGAAACTGTCTTGGCTCCGTAACGTGACAGAACAAAGTTCTTTATTTTTATTTTTCATAACTTGGCTCGTGTAATGGCAAAAAAAATAAAATTACGATTATACGTTGCAAAAGTTGATTTTAATTTATGTGTATAACGCCCTTGAATGGTATACGAGTCCCTTGTGTGTACGATTATTAAATTGAAGACTATAGAGTACAATAGTCGCCTCGAGCGAGCCTTTTGAATCGCGTCCCACTCGGCCCGAGTCAAAAGTTTTTAAGAAGCAGCGCAGCGATTACAGGTCGTCACCCGAAATTTGTCCGGCTCGCAATTTTATAATTGCGCGTCGACTTTCATAAAGCTTTCTCTGCGCGCGTCTCGTTGCAGAAAAATATCAGCGCACGACGATGGACTTTTCGGGTACGATAGCAAATATAACGTTACAAAAATTCGAATAAGATGATTTCACTTTTTAGCTGCCACCGCTAGATGGCGAGTACCTTTATACGTGAAAATCTGCAAGTGGCAAAGTGAAAATAATTGTACAAGTTCAAACTTACTTTATGTATTTATTGTAATTGTTACCTTTATCGTAAATACGATACCTATAATAAATGTGTGTGTGTGTGCGATTGTGGCACACGTGACACGCGGGGTCACAGGTTCATTCATCGGAGCTTTCGCTTATTCGTACAAGTACTTACACATACTCACAGACACCTACACAGATAAGAGAATCTCGGCGCGTGCTGCAATTCCGACTACTACTACTACTACTACTACTACCGCTGCTGCGCGCACACCCGCTGCAGCAGCATTGGCCTATGCGGACGCGAGACGCATCGTATTATATATATACATATAAAACACTGGCGATGCGAGTAACGGTAGTTGGCGATGCGAACCGAGTCGGGCAGGTTAGTACAGTCCACGGCACGAGACGACGCGCATAGCAGCTGAGCTTCAGCAGCGGATAGTCGCGCTCGATATATACATACATACATACATGGAGGAGATAGTCAGTGGCGCGACGAGGCTGAGACACCAGCGAGCGATTATATAGCTGCTGCAGTGCACCGCTCCATATACTGATATACACGCTATATCGAGCTTGCGACGCGACCATAACCTACGACGGATTAAGCTCCGCAGCAGCGAAAACAAAAAAAAAACTCGCGTGAGTGCAGAGAGAGAGAGAGAGAGATGTATTATTGTATACGATGCGATCTGGATACGTTGCAGCGGAAGATAACGCGCGAAAATAGAGAGAGAAAAGATTTGTAATAATTAACGGAGAGAGACGCGTTATCGAGTATACAGGCTGTGTGTGCCTGCTTATCGCGCGATTATCATACAAATAGACGGCGTGTATACTAAACGTGTGCGTACGAGCGATCGATCGATTGGCCTGTAACGTTTCGTTTTTTTTTATATATAAACACAACGTATGCGTTTGTGCAGTACGAACGGGTAAAAAACAGTCGAAAGTGCGAGAGCTTGCGGGCTTTTCAGATCGAAGAAAAAAAAGTGCCTGCAGCGCGATCGGTTTTTATTTCAATTTTTATCAATCTTTGTATGTACCCATCGATATAATATAAAACGATACTCTTACACCGTTTCACATCCATCGGCTGTGCAAATATAGGTGAGTACTGTTAATTTTATCTCTTCTGCTCTGTTTTTTCTTTTTTTTTTTACACACGAATTGAAAATACCCTCCCTCTCCCTCCCTCTCTCGCTCGCGGTGAAGTTCGGCGGGTGGCGTACACATTATGCGCCAGGGTGTGCAGCAGCAGCAGCAGCAGTAGTAGTAGGTACAGAAGTTTTTGCTCGATCGTCCGTGTAAATGTAGGTGACCGACTTTCATCCAGTTCGGTTTCGTACATACACACACACACACACACGCAGTAGCTTCAATTTCGGCGGCCGCGTGCGCAATGTTTGTTTTTCCTTTTTTTTCGTCCGGCTACTTTGAACTTCGGGCCAATTCAAGCTCGTTTAATTTGCAATTCATTAGCTCTTTGCGTATCGTGGCGAGCATTTTTTTCTTTGCTCTTTCGTTCCAAAACTCAAGTGCCAATAAATGAGTGTGATTCCACGCCACACAGCTGTTGGAACATCGAAAGAATTAAAACAAAAAAAATCTTCCGATCGAAGCACATATGCACGAAAGCTCGCTCGATTCCGCGCGTGATTCTTCGATCCTAAAACGCGTGTATCATTATTTACGACCTCGAGCAATTTACTTGTGTACGGCATAAGCTTTTTTTTTCTTCTGCACGATGCCGATGCACATGTATACACAAAGCTTGCACATACATCGTTACGAGTAGAATAATCATTTCAATAATAATGTACGTCGCGTCGCGGGTTATTGCGCGAAAACACGATATAAAGTGCGGTAAAAGCACCATTCTCTCTCTCGGGGGACGAATCCACGGAATTGTTGGCTCCTTCTTTCTTTATCCTTCGTGGTTTCGGGTCGATCGTAACCAAATGAGATATGTACGCTGCAACAGGTTCCGATACTTATTCATTTTTATGCGAGGAAGAAATAAAAGAAACAATCAAGCGACAATAAAAAAAAAAGAAGAAAAAAAAGTCGATCGATCAATTGTCTTACATAAGTCGGCGGTTATAACATAACACACACACACATCAATAGCACACCCAAGAGACCGAATAAAAAAAAGTCGTGCAGCTCTACGTTAATCGTCGCGTAGTAGCTTAGTACGCGCCGCGCATGTCCTTAACTCGCGAGCCCGACTAATCTATAGATCGTGCACTGGGTCCGTCTGTATACGCGACGAACTTCCAAGAAAATCTTGACACGACATCGTTTCTGAGCTTCGAACGATTTAGCAGAGTGCGCGCGTGCGGCAATTGAAGTTTATATCGTAGCCAGCCGTATTATTATTATAATAATAATAAAATCGTCTGCCGGCGGTGGCGCGTCCACTTTCGATGCTACGTATGCACGCGCGAGAGATAACGGATTGTTTTTTTTCGTCTTTCTATAAATAGGCAGCTCCGTTGCTACAGGTGTAAACACGATACGATGCGATCGAAAAAAAAATAAAGACAATTACGCGCGTATCGCGAGTTTAACGCATGGGCAACGCAACAACACCGAGTCTCTGATGAAAAGAAGCAAAAAGATCGTACGCGTATTATTATCCATGCATTGCGTGCTACATATTTGAGCTAGACACTGAGAGCAGAAGAAGACGAAGAAGGAGAAGAAGTAGGCCTGGATCATCGCTCGAGAGAGCGACACTTCAATAAAAGTCATGAAATTGCCCCCCGGCCGTCTAACGTCCGACTTTGACGAGACGTCGCACGCGACAAATAACTTCTATATATACGGCGACGACACGTTTTATATAAATCGACCGACGCGTCTGATGTGTGTACCCGTTTAGTTCGTCGGCTCCTGCTGCTGTTGATCTCGTTTCAAAAGCTCAAGAAAGAGAGAGAAGCTTTTCAGAGCTTTTTTCAATCATTTCGATCGCCAGATCTATTTACATATTTATTAATCATTGAAGTATTGAAAGGGTCAACCAGACACCAGGTACAACCGGAAAATTCAAGATCGGTTCGCAGCTATACGTACATTCTAGTCTTAACTCGTCTCCAAAGTGGCAATGTAAATTATCGATCGGCGATCATACGTATATAACACGGCAGCTTTTGCAAATATTTATCTCCGATCGCACACACGCGTGCGTGTATGTAGCGTATAAGCGAGTATTCGTGTATTTTGTCATCATTCGTGACATTGCCTGCGCGAAATATGTATATATCGACGACACTTCGATCGGCAAAATGAGACGACGATGATCGTATATAGGCATGTGCGTTTATTATATAGATTTCAATCGAAATCACGTGAGACTTGTATAAGCCCCGCGACGATCGTTGTATCTGTCAGCTCGATTGACTCTCGAATTTCGTATATTATCTTGTGCGACTGCGTTTTAATAGGATGTGGACACAACAGTGATCGTGTGAGCTTGAGTGAGTAAAAATAACGAAGGAAAAGAGAGAGAGAGAGAGAGAGAGAGAGAGAGAAACGAGCGTGTTTCAACTCGTAAAAAATGAGACGAGATGGCTTGCGTGTTATCTCGCAGCGCGCGCAGGCATATATAACACAAATAAAATAATTGTGGATATTAATTTCCAATATATATTCTATAAACATAACGCGTATTACACGACACGTGCGCGACGTGCAAAAACAAACATCGTATCGTCGATGCAGAGAGAAAGAAAAGTCTGGAAAGTTTGCGCCTCGATCCTCTTCGTGTTTACATTATTTTTTTATATATTACACATAAAATGAATTTAATTTTGATAAATGAAAACTAAATCGATAAATGAAAAATAAATCTGCGTATCGTGCGCGCGAAAAAAGGCGAAAAACAATAATAGCATACAGCCAGACGGCGCCAATCAATAGTTCTCTCGTCGACTCTCTTGCACCGCCGCAACGCATATTATTGTGTGTGCGTATTATACATCTCAATATAAACGTTGAGATAAAAATGAAATTTTCCCCGCGCGAGCATAAGCTCGCTCGTTTATATATACGTGCGATTTCTTGCACGCACGCCTGCCGCTGCTGCTGCTGCTGCTGCCCGTGTATATGTGCGCTGATAAGATATTTTATATTATATTGCAATTATCGCACGGCGCCGCGCGATATATCCGAAGGCATTGCACGCGCGCATCGCCAGTGTCTTGGCGAAAATCGAGCTCGTCGCTTGCGCGCACAGAGTACAAAAGTTCGAGTCGTTGTCTCTTTTTTTTTCGACGAGACACGGAAAACTGTATACAGCCGTATAGTGTGTAACGCGCGTTTGTGTTGGATAACTGACTTCGAAGGGCTTCTCGACGCGACGATATAGTACTTTAGCCGCGACGATCGCTTCTCGAGTGCAGCGACCCTACAGTAAAGCACTTGTGAATATATAGTATTGTACGGTGAAGAGGCGAAATAGAAGCAGCCGAGCTTTAATTACGTTCGATCGTACACGGCGAATAACATCTCGCACGAGGTACATATCTCAACAATTATTTTAATATAGTTGTAACATCTCAAACTGCAATACCCCCTGGATTCTCCGCATTACACACATACAGATGGCCTACGCATTGACCCGCATTGCACGTTTCTGCAATGCGTCAAGATTCCCGCGAAGTACAGGATAGCCCGTGTAATGTAACGTAAGCTTGTAACTTATCCTACTCTCGTTACATCCTGCGCCGCAGTCCTGAAATAACTTTAATTTCGTGTAATATAACGATACTAGGCGGACTGATTAATCGTCAGTGGTTGAAAAAATAACTCGAAATAAACTTTACCCTAAATGTACGTATACTCTCGCAACGATCGAGTCGATCGTGTGTTGGGTGCATTCGTGTGCAAAGGTATTTTTTCATTTGGCGCGTCACCGCAATAATCGCGCGATTTGTGTTTACACCGCTCGACGATCGCGAGCAAATGTTATTTTTAATCGTCACGTGTGTACTTTTTCTTTCTCTCTCTCCTACGACGACGACTCGGATAAATGTTTCATTGAATAAACTTTGATAAGACTTTAAGGTGCATATTATGCGCGTGTGCGACGAACGTATATTTTCTCGTGATTCTCTTATACAAAAAAAAAAAAAATGATGCGAAGCGTGACTGATGATAATCAATTAGCTTGGAGGATTGTAGATCGGCGCAAATTACGAAGTGCTCTGAGATGTACAATCAAAAACTCAGAGTAATCCTGAAATTATTTATTATCGCAATTTGTGAAAAATAAAACGCAATATCCGTTCATCAAAACATATTTATTGATTCTTTTCAAACTTTGAAGTTGTCTTTATGTTTTCATTGAGAGATAATTACACAGGAATCATTTAATATGTCACAATAAATGAAAATATTTCTATAAGTATTTTAAACCTATCAATTTTAGTTTATAAGTTGAGCTTATAAGTAATATTTTAAACTTAAAAACTTTAATGGAACATAAAATCATACATTTATTTGTCAACGCGTGCAGAGCGGTGCGCCATATCGATGTGAGCTTTGAGATTTGCTCTTTGTCCGAACGTTTTTCCGCATGTCTTGCATGAATGGGTGATACCATCATGCGACGATTTGACATGCTTATGGAGACCAGATGGACGTTTAAATTTTTTACCACATAAATCACATGCGCGGGTGATACCATTGTGTATCGAATCGATATGGACTCTGAGATGACCCTTTTGCGTGAATGTCTTTTGGCATATGTCACATGCATGTCGGACTCGATTGTGCACCGAATCGATGTGCTTTCTAAGATTACTCTTGAATGAGAATGTCTTTTGGCACATACCACACGTATATTTGACATCATCGTGCCTCAAATGGAGGTGACGAGTGAGATTACTTTTACTTGATAGTTTTTTCTCGCAAATATCACACGAGTAAGTAATCCCGTTGTGCGTGTGAATGTGAATTTTGAGATACTCTTTCCGTGAAAATTTCTTGCCACAAATGTCACATGCATGTTTGACACCATTGTGCATCGATTTGATATGGGTTTGAAGACTACTTTTATGATTAAATGTCTTTCCACATGTACTGCACGTATGTTTAGTCCCATTGTGCACAGAATCGATATGGGTTTGAAGACTACTTTTATGATTAAATGTCTTTCCACATGTACTGCACGTATGTTTAGTCCCATTGTGCACAGAATCGATATGGGTTTGAAGACTACTTTTTTGAGTAAATGACTTGCCGCATTTACCACATGAATGAGTGACCCCATTGTGCACAGAATCGATGTGGATTTTGAGATACTCTTTCTGTGAAAATTTCTTGCCACAAATGTCACATGCATGTTTGACACCATTGTGCACGGAATCGATGTGTTTTTTAAGACGAAATTTTTGTGTGAATGTGTTTCCGCATGTATTGCACGTATGTCTGACACTTTTGTGCACCGTATCAACATGTTGTTTGAGATTGATGTGGCTCTTAAGATGATCTTTTCGTAAAAGTGTCTTATCACGTGTACTGCATGGATTTTGGGTACGAATGTGCATCGCACTGATGTTAGTTTTGAGATTACCTCTTTGCTCGCCGAGTTCACAATCGAAATTCAAATCCATCTCTTTTTTCACGCTGTCCACGGTTTCTACTTTAATTCTGTTTTCAATATTGCAATCGTAGCTATATTTTATATTCTGCGAGGGATATTGAGAATAATCGTCAGTTTTCTTATTTACTATTAAATCACTAATGAGCTTTACATCTTTACACTCGAATTCAATAGACAATTCGTCAAATTTATTTTCGCAATTTTCGTGACATTCTTGAAGCACCTATAAGAAGATATACTGTGTAAACTGTCATACATAAATATTTCTCATATGAATAACATATATTCTTACTGAATCGTTTGGCGGAAATCCGAAGAGTTGATTTTTGTCATTGGGCGCCGAGTCAATTATATTACCACCATCATTTTCAGTAGGCCACTCATCAATGGGCTCTCTTTTGATGCTGAAATAATGATTAGATTGAATGTCGTGCTTAAATATTTTGGATACTTTGCTCATTGAAAATTACCTAACAGCAGAATAAACTGTATCACTGGGTTCCATGTTTCTCGCTTAGAGTTCCGTTGGCAATTGATCGTTCTGTAACAGTCTACGTAATACATCGATCTAACTAATTCAAATTAAATTTAATAATATTTACTTGTAACAAAGTAGATGTAAACAAAGTGACACTACTGGTAATGCTACGTTGTCATGGAAATAACGTTACCGATCTCCCTAATGAATAATAATGATTTCCTTGATAATTGATATTTTTTTAGGAAGAATGTAAAAACTGAACATAAAATAAAATAATAATACTTCTATATTCGAGTTAAAAGTAACATAAATTTTAATGCGATTGTTCAATATTGTCGTATATATTCGAGTTTCATTATATCGTTTATATGTACTTAATCGCGTGTATAATAACTCGAGCCTAATAGCCTCGTGGCACGTGATATCTTCGCAAAAGTTAATCAAACGTCCTTTACTTTCTTGCAGCACAACTTCTGCTCGCTCTACAAGTAACCGGCGCAGTCGCTAAATTCAAGATCCGCTGCTGCCGCTGTCTGGCTATACATATCATCAGGCAAAAGAGGCCTATATCATGAGTAAACTGCTGGCGGCCCTCGCAGCGGGCTCGGCGAGCGTCTGAGGTCGCGCGCCCCCCCTCAGCGGCGGCGCCCCCTCAAGCCCTCGGCCAGCCCTCGATAAAAAAAAAAACGCGCGCAGAGCTCCGTCCAACCCGTCTCGTTCATGGACAATGAGCAGCCGCACCAAGAGCTGGTCAAGTGCGTCGTCGTCGGCGACACGGCGGTCGGTAAGACCCGGCTGATTTGCGCCCGCGCCTGCAACAAGCATGTCTCGCTGTCCCAGCTGCTCACCACCCACGTGCCCACCGTCTGGGCCATCGACCAGTACAGGATCTACAAAGATGTGAGCACGATTTCTGTCGAATCAAGTGGAATAGTTAAAAATTGGCGCGCGAAAGAGCACGTTTGATTTATACAATATGATTTGGACTTTGCCACTTGCAGATTTACGTATTAAGCTACTCGCCATCTGGTGGTGGAGGCTGGTTTTAATTTTGATTGATTTTTCATACACTGATTGAGCAATTAAGGCAAAAATTATATTGGTATAAAGATGGTATTTATTTTTGATCAAAATATGTAAATTTGAGTATCGTTTTTACACTAAAATTGATTTGTGCGGTCGTATTTTCATGCATTTTATGTGTATTGTATGAAAAAAAAAATTAATAAATTATTTCGGATAAGTACCTCAAATAAATTGCAGTATTACTTATCTTAATTTGAAGGTTTGATTTTATATTAAATCTTCATTTATTTCAATTTTTTGTGAACAATGTAGGTGTACTTAAAACGAAATGCAACATTGAAAATAAATACGGTGTACGCTGTTTAATTTATTTGAATTAATAAAATATTTAGTTAAAGCCAGCTCACCAGTTATTGAAAGCATAAAAAGGCGTACCAGTAAATAAAAGTTCATGTTAAACTTGAAATTATATGATCATATTAAAATAATTGATGGACAGTAAAATTGTGTAATATTTTTTATAATATTACATCAATTATTATCCATTATTCAATTTTAACATAAGCTTTCATATTTTTTTATTTAAATAATATTTACTTCTTCAGAAATATATTACTTTTCTCCAAGTGAATTAATCATGAGTAATGACAATTATTCTAATTGATTCGGGTGCACACATTATAGGTGCTTGAGCGCTCCTGGGAGGTGGTCGACAACGTCAACGTCTCGCTGCGCCTGTGGGACACGTTCGGCGACCACGAGAAGGACCGGCGCTTCGCCTACGGCAGATCGGACGTGGTGCTGCTCTGCTTCTCCATCACCAACCCCGTGTCGCTGAGAAACTGCAAGGCGATGTGGTACCCGGAGATCCGTCGCTTCTGCCCCCATACTCCGGTGCTGCTGGTCGGCTGCAAGAACGACCTGCGCTACATGTATCGCGACGAGGCCTACCTGTCGCACTTTCGCGATCGAGGCGCCGCGGCGCCCTTCGTCCGAGCCACCCGCAAGTCCGACCTCGTGATGCCCGACGAGGCTCGGGCCGTGGCCCGCGAGCTCGGCGTCCACTACTACGAGACCTCGGTGTTCACGTACTACGGCGTGAACGAGGTGTTCGAGAACTCGATCAGGGCCGCCCTGATAGCCCGCAGGCAGCAGCGCTTCTGGATGACGAATCTGAAGAAGGTGCAGCGTCCGCTGCCGCAGGCGCCCTTCTGCCCGCCGGAGCCGCGCGCGCCCGAGCTCCAGCTGGCCACGAGCAGCTACGAGGACAATATCGCGGCTCTGTGGCAGTCGCTCGAGCACACGGACGTCGTCCTGGTCTGCGCCGACAACAACAACGACGACGCGTTCGAGGCGCATCGATGCTTCCTGGCCGCGGCGTCGCCGGCCTTTCATCGGCTCTTCACCATGGACGTGCTGAACAATCATCAGCAGCAGCAACTTGGAACGCCGAGGAGCTCGAGCGACTCGAGCACGCTTGGATCCTTCGGCGAGGCGACGGTGGGCGAGTTCAACGACGACACCGAGTGCCTCATACGCCTGGAGCAGAGCAAGGCCAACAAGTGAGTGAATCCAAAATTTCTGATTTCAAAGTATCATAATCATCATGACACTAAGAGTTCATGTACGAGAACCTATATGATTGAATGTTCATTTATCCTGCGAATGAACTAAATTAAAAAAAAATCTTCAATTTAGAATGATTTGAGTCAATTTCCACACTATATTTATGGTAAAATCATAAGTTTTTCAATACATTTTTTTCTTCATTGAACGTTGATTAGTCATGCTCAGATTTCAATGACTTATTGAAATTTATGAATTAAGTAAAAAAAACCTTTCATTCAAGAATTTGAGTTTTTTACTATTAAAAAGGTACGAAATGTTTGTTTTATACTTTTTAATTCAACCCTTGGGGTTTTAAAAGTATGAAATCTTCATTTTATGCTTTTATAATAAGACAAAATGTTACTTTTATACTATTCAAAGGATAAATTCATTACTTTATACTTTTATAAAAGTATAAATCAGATGAATTCGATTTTTTACGTTAAATTTGTATACTTTTGTGGCGCGCATAAATTGATATTAGTTACGCGAACCCGTTTAGGGGGTTTAGCGTTTTATTAGCAAGACTTATCGATAGTCTAAGTTGACCTGTTCGATACTGAGCTTTCTGCTTTCATCAACAGATGGAGCATTGACAATTCGCAAGTGTCAAAAAATTTTCTTAGGATATATAATACTCAAAAACCCATCAATTTATAACATGCATAACTAATATCTCTCTTTGTATACTATACCTCTAATTTTTCAAAAATTTTTTATTTGGAGAAAACATTTTTCAATTAGTCAAACGATTTTTTCTTTTATTTAAATGTTATTCACATTGGAAAGAATCATTCCACCGAATATTTACAATCCAAAAAAAATTAATTAATATTCGTTATTGGCGCAGAGTTTGGGATCAAATCAAGCGTCGATCGAGCTTCCAAGTGATGTCGAGCCACGAATCTCAGAGGCGTGCGATCGGAGCCACGCGAGAGCTCAATCATCCCGCTTTCCAGAGCATACGCGTCGTCGTGGTAATTATTGGCTTCGAACGAAAAAAAAAAAAAACTACAACTACGAAATATTACGTATACGATATGAATCTTTTTGTCGCGACACAGGCCGACAACGGAAACGGTACGTTCCAGCAGACGACCCTCGTCACCCTGTCGAAGATCATCACCGGTCAAGCTCTGCAGCAGTGCCTACAGTTCATCTACACCGGCAATCTCGACAAACGCTGCCATCATCTCAAAGTGAGCGCCAATATGATACTTGACAAAAAAAAAACGTTTCTTTCTTTCTTTCTTTGTTCCTTTCTCCGTTACACCACTTGTGTACATATTATAGTGCGGCTTAGAAATTTTCGTTTATGTATAATATACGATTGATAAATTTGATATACGCATGTGCTGTATATATATAATATAATGGAGAGAGAAAATATATAATCGGAGAGGAGCAAATAATGTGACTAACCGGTATGTCAATTTTTTCAGACATCTTCTTTCGGGCTTCTACTGGTTAGTACGTGTTTATAAATAACGACATTGAGCGCACGATACAATAAAAGCACGTCGTCCATACGATAATAATCTTCTATATTTACACGCATACATTACACCACAGACGCATGCGATCCACACGCATCCAATAAGCACATAATATAAACTTATTATCAGCATAATTTATCCGTTATAAATAGATTCATTATGTCATCTCGTGTGCATACATAACACGTGACATTTGATTCGACGCGATTAAACGACCACCGACACCCACACACTGTGCCGCGTGCATTTCATTGCCAGTATACACACAAAAGCTTTTGAATCACAGATTATGATCTCGATGTGTTCAAAAAATATTTAGCCGTTTTCATGAACTCCATATAATTAAACAATTTCAATCTTTTCTCTCTCTCTCTCTCTCTCTCTCGCTCGACAGGAGGTGCGCCAGGCCGCCGAGTTCCTGGAGATACCGCAGCTGCTGATGCTGCTCGACAACGGCGTCGGCCCTTCGGCGGGCGACCTCTACATCCACGGCAACGTCAATCGGCAGTTCAAGCACGCGGTGCGCCAGCGGCTGGAGGCGCTGTGCCTCGAGCAGGGCTTGTTCGCCGACGTCGTGTTCGAGCTCGACGACGGCAGTCTGCCGGCCCACCGGGCCATACTCACCGCCAGATGCGACATGATGAAGGCCATGCTGTCGGGGGACTTTCGCGAGAGCACGGCAAAAATCGTGAGGGAGTTTTCTTTTTCATCTCGCCAGATGGCTAAAAAATGACCTTTTGAAATATTGAAAAATTCATTGCTTGTTGTAGGCCAATTTTTCGTATTACTATGCTACAATTATCGAGCGTATATTTTAAAAGACTTGAAAATTTCGATTTCTTTGTTTCAAAACGTGTAGACCGGCTTTCAACCACTTTAAATATGGTTATAACCACTTTCAGCACCTACCACTAGATGGCGATTACCTTTATACGTAGAAACCTGCAAGTGGAAAAGTCAAAATAATTGTATAAATCAAACGTGCTTTGATGTCCTTTTCATTGTCATTTCATTCAAAGGGTTTGTGTGTTCATATCGCATTTTGATGATAAGTAAAACATTTTATAGTCGAAAACCAGTATATGGTCAGTATTTACTGGTAGTACATGACCATGAGATGTTGTAAAAAATATTACCCTTCTGGTTACTAAGTCTTCAGATGTGATCTGTATGGCTCTCTCGTGTTCGAGAAATTTTTTTGTCGTACGAAAATTTGCCTCAACGCGTTAAAGAGTTCCGAATACTCGACAGTACATAGAAATTTAAGTTTTAACGATAATAAACAATCAAACCAAAATTCAAAGTAGGCCCGCTTCACGGATCAAACTTTCTTTTTTCGCTCTCCCCTTGCAGATCGCGTTCCCCGGCGTGCGCGAGTACACGTTTCACAAGCTCCTCTGCTACCTCTACACCGACGAGATACCGGCCATATCGTCGGCCAAGTGCCTGAACCTGCTCGAGCTCGCCAATCGTCTCTGTCTGCCGCGCCTCGTGAATCTCGTCGAGGCCCGAGTCATCGAGGACCTGGAGAAGCTCGCGAAAAACGAGACCGATAATACCAGCCACAATCCGGAAGATCAAGGTGGCAGCGGCAGCAGCAACGAGGCCATGGACAATTGTCTGCGTCTGCTGGAGCTCTGCAAGCTGCACAACGCCGATCAGCTGGCCGACTGGTGCATGAACTATCTGTGCGTCAACTACAACAGGATATGCAGGGCGTCGCCGCGCAGCCTCAAACTGCTGCATCCGGACAATCAGGAGTACCTGAGCGAGCATCGCTGGCCTCCCGTTTGGTGAGTTAGATTATTTTAGAATTTTTGCTCTCTTTACACGATTTGATCAAATTTGACGGCAATCGATGCTCGCAGGTACCTCAAGGACTACGACTACTATCAAAAGTGCCTCGCCGAGCAGGACCGCGAGACCAAGGTGCCGGTCAAGCGCAGCTCGTCGCCCGCCGGCAAGCAGGGCTGCCTCTGCTTCTCGACGAGCAACAGTCGCAGTCGCAGCGCCAGTCGAAGCCGCAAAGCTCGCAAATCCGCCGCCACCGTGGCTACGGCAGCATTGCAAAAAGCCAACAGCGAGCCACTTCGAAACGAGGAAGGGGAAGAGGAGGAGGAGGACGAGGAGGACGACGACGACGACAACGACGAGTACGACCGGCGACACGTATGACATCGCGTGTCGAGCGGCTGGTCGTCGGATCATCCCCGGCACCGACGTCGCTCGCTGAGATTCGTCCTCCTCGTTCTGCCCATGCTCATACTCGTGTTTATCGGCACGATTTTTACCGTTTTGATACTGATACAGATCTATACTTAAGATGAAAATATACAATTTTTTTAGCTTCACCCCCGCAGCTCTTTATTCTTCTCTTCTTTTTTTTTTTTTTTTTTTGTATACATTCGTCGAGATAAAAACGATTATGAGCGGACAATTATATCGAACGCATTTATTTTATTCAATTTATTATATCTACGTTTTTTTTTCTATTCGATTCAAGCGAGATTGTCGAATGCATAATGCCGAATTAATTAATGCCTATTATACGATACACACCATGTTTATATACATTGTTACGAAGAAAAAATTACGTGGTTTCGTTGTTACTCGTTGTTACTCGTGGAGAGTGTTGAGATTTGGACAAAAAAATATTTATACAAACTGCGACGATGGATGCTGTGCGTGAGAAACGACGAGAGAAAAATATGAGATGTTCAGATTATTGTATAGACACGATGACACGGGAAGTGTCATTATTTTTGTATCGACACTTTCAAAGAGTGACGATAAACGAGCGACGGTCTTTAAAAAAAGAGTAACGAATTTTCCGATAAACATCTATTTTTATCGCGGCTTTTAAATTTGTCTCTTTCACCCGCGAAGGGATGTATAATACACAACGACCGCATAATATAGGAAACTACACGATTTCGATTTGTATACTTCCTGATTTTACCGGGGGGAGGCAATTATATTATGTAAAACCAGACCAAGGTCGACCGATTCTTTTTTTTTTTTCTTTTTTCATGCATAATTGTGATAAAGAGCTAGAAAATATCTATAACGAAACGGTGATCGATATTAGACACATTTTAGAAATTTTCTCTGCACTCATTATGAATGAATTTTAATACTGCACTCGAGTCTTCGATAAATTTGTACGATTTTAACGACTCGTTATCAAAGCGAAGTCGATGGAAATAACCGTATTTTAAAAATAATGAATTTCTTTTTATTGCATATCGATGCGGATGTGCGTTTAATTTCTTTTGCAAATCTGTAAGATAACAAAAAAATATAACAACAGTAATAAACGAATGAATGGCGTAAACGACGATATCAGATTTATATGTACACGAGTAACAACAACGACAACAATAACAACAAAAACAACAAACGATTTATAATTATTACATTCATGTCAAAAAAAAAAAAAAACAATTTTGTACGTAAAAAAAACTGTCAATAAACGAAGCGTATATATTCAGCGCATAATAAATTCGCAATTCAATTTATTTTCAACGATGGATCTATAAACGTAATTTAATGTCAGAATAATTATCGAATTTTTCTCTCTATAGCTTACAATAAGTTATAAAGCTGTGTATATTATAACGAGCCCGACACGCGATCCACTAATTTTCTCGAGATTTCCGTATTATATAGGTGTGTAGGCGATCGATCATCGCAGTCGTTAGTCGGTATTTAAACACGCGGCGAACAGAGAAAACGACTCAACGAAGACAGCGGCGAACACGCGTAACGACGCTAAGTACACGCATTATAAATACGAATCCGTCATCGCGCTCATTTATTATACGAAATTCCCGAAAAAAAGTAAAGATCGAGGCGCCTGGCGCTATACTACTTATATGCAAATTAACACACGGTATACACGCTCCAACATGTGGCCGTTACTACCACCACCGCCGCCGCCGCCGCCACCTCCGCACCAATCAGCGCTGCATTCCATGAAATTCGTATACACACGCTTGAAAAAGAAGTGACGAGTATCGAAACGGTCATAGAACGTGGCCGCCGCCGCTGCCACCACCGCAGCAGCCGCACGCTCAAAAAACAGCCGTTAGAAATCTCCGCGCGCTCGCTCGCAGCCGCCCGTACTATATAGGAGTAATACATAAAGCCAAAGTTGTATGTATAAAGAAAGAAGAGCGAAAAAAAAATCTCAGTCGCGTCTTATCGCTATCGCTCTGCTCTACACGCACAATAACGAATTCACGCATACACGCACATATATATATAGGGCAGAGAGAATCGCAGCGGTTCATTCGTTATCTCCTTTCGTACGTACGTTCGTGTGTGTTTGTATGTAAATGTGTGTTTTGTACGTGCACGTCAAACGTGTTGTTGGTTTTTGTGCCGTGCCGCATTTTGTGTGTCGTGCCTGTGTGTGTGTTGTGTGAGTGGATTTAACGTATAGTACAGTGAAACGAGAGTGCGATAGCTAAATTATTCATCGCGAACTTTTAATACACACTCGCGCATTCGTTTCTGCGGCGTGAAAGAGAACGCGAATGTACGCATAGAATTTTTGCGTGCGAACGACGGTTGAGCTGCCGAATTGAGAAGCCGAGAGATGCGCCACTGCTACTACTGTTGTTGTTGTTGTTGTTGAAACTGTCGCGTGCTTTGTGTATTATTTACGAGATACATCTGCATCGTCATCATCATCATCTCGTTGGTGCGTGATGAGCACGACGAGAAGACGCCAGCATCTTCTTCTATTACATCGATTAGTAGCCAATGATCGCAAGATTTCCGGTAAGTTTTTTCCTATACACAATACGTGTTAAAACGGAGCGTAACCGACGTCAATCATTTCGGATTTGAAGTAGTTCTATATACAGTCGCGCCTTATTCTGGGCCACAGCCGCTGCCGCCGTCGCCGCCTCATTTAAATACGTCAAAAGTCGATCAGCCGAGAGTGTTTACATTACATTATATACAAGTGCCTATATATGAAAGGCGTGCGCGCGCGCGCGAGCGAGCGGTTACACATTTCGGTGTAGATGGAGCCGACCGTGTGTTGGATTACTATACCATTATAATTATTATTAGGCCGCGCGGAAAGCGCGTGTCACTTAATGTATAAAGTCTAAAATCGGATGTGCGGCTGCTGCTGCTCCGACTCTCATTATGTATACATCATTATGTATATAGGAAGAAAGAGTACACACTGAGAGTTCACAGCACAGCACACGCAGCTACTCGATGAGCGAGATGATGGAATTTGTCTTCCTTTCTCTCGCCGAGGCTTCATCGTAGATGTAACAATTTCTCACATATCGCGTGTATGTATGGTATACGAACGAGAGAAAAAGAGACGACGCATCGAGTGGTGTATGTAATGGTGTAGAGCCAGGCGCAGATACATAAACATTTATGTATATATACACCTATACGTATATATAATCGCACGAGGAATGAGAGAGAGAGAGAGAGAGAGAGAGAGAGAGAGACACGCATGGGAAAGGCTTACGTGTCATGCCGTTCTCTTTCGCAGACTTCTTGTATATTACTCATTATTATTATAACATTACATATATGTACCCCGTCGACTAATATTATATATGTTGTAAAAAGAGACTCATCGCGTTGAGTTTGCTTCGCGTCTATCGGGGCCTGCTGCTGTTGCTTCTGCACGGGCCACCCGCAGCTGTCTCTTCTTGTGTGTATACATACACCTTTTTTAAGGTACAGAAAATAATACACCTATATGTAGTACGCAGCCCTGCACCCACTATACGGACGCACCTACCTACCTACACTGTCGTATAGAGGTACACCGAGTGTTTGTGCGCGAGTGTGTAATATGTGTCACGTCGCCCTCCGTTCTCGACATAGAGTGCGGTGAAAATTGATAAAATATTCTAACATTTTATCACGAAAGGAGACGAAATCTCTTCGCATAACGCCGCTGACTAGTGTTGCTGCTGTTACTGCTGCTGCTACTTCTTCTGCCTCTGTGTTTGTTGTTATGTGTACGCTCGTTTTCACCTCAATACTCTGATAATTAAAAGCTCCGGTTTCGCGCGGGCCTCGCTCTCGCGAAAGAGAGCAATTGTCAATGCGTGCCTCTATGTCATATACACACAAGTGAATCATTACGATACACACACTACCCGCGGTCGAGAGCCACAAGCAGGCTGAAAAATTCTAACCTTATTGCGCGCGCGCCTCTGTCTCTGCTCTACGCTCGTACTTATATATCTACTCTCTTTCCGTCTCTCTTTCTCTCGCGCTCGTTTGCGTTTTTCGCACGCGAATATATCGTGTCCTGGCCTGTGTGCTGTATATTCGCGCATAGTAGTGTTATAGAGTAGTCGCTCTGCTGATCCGCTGCTGACCGGTGTTGTGTGCTCATATATGTGTACGTTCTGTGCGTGTGTAATATAATTTCACCAAAATCATCCATCTCTCGTTCGAATCATTCCGTTCACCTCGATACTCTCTCTCTCTCTGTACCCGACGATGACACTCGTCGTCGTCGTCGACTGCTGCGAGGCCAGAGTCTCGTGAAGTAACACCTCGATGCTTCTCTCCGTGTTATATCGTGTGTCTCTGCATATTGTCGCGCATGCTAAAGCATATATAGGAGAGAATATGTTTGCGTGTGTTTGTGTGCGTCATGCGTGTGTCTACGAGACGACGAGTGCAGTGGCTGAACACACTTGGCTGCTGCTGCTCGATCGTTTGGTTCATTGATGATTCGCATTTGGCGAGTTCCGCGCAGACATTCCATTGCTCGCTGCTGTTGTTGCGGCTACACGGCACAGAGAGCATCTCGCTGATACTTGTAATTCCCATGTCTAGAAAGTCTCGTCTCGTATCGAAATTAAATGATTATTATGGTGACTTGAGAGCGCTTTTATTTATGCGCGCGACCGAAATTCTGCCTCTCGTGCTCGTGCAAAACGATCCTCGAAAATAACTCCAGTTCCTGTCTGCCTGCCTGCCTCTGCCTGTTATATAGGTTTGCGAATTCTTTGCGAATGAGCTCGTGGAACACATAACACTACTACCTGCTGCTGCTCTGTGCGTTGGAATTTTCTGCATTTTTGTTACTAGTGAAATAAATCTTATTGCGCGAAGGCTAACGTTTCAATCGAGCCTTGAGAGAAAAAAAAAATTATTGTTGCAATAAACAAGTGTATCGAGTCGAGATATGAGAGGTTTTCATGTTGCTTAGTGTCAAGCGTAATCTCTAAGTTCATTCGGTGTGTACGCTTTATCATCTATGAGATCTTATCAATTTGAGAAATTTGATGAAAATGTTCATGTAGATTTTCACCTTGCTGAATACTATAGCACCTTTGAAAGGTAGATAAGCAAAGTCAACTCGTGCACTGTGAACAAGAATTTGTTGATAATCTCAATTTTCATTGATTCATTACAATTGTTTTATTCATTAAATCTTGCTTAACAACAGAATCTGTTATCTCAAAGTAAGAGCCTTCAAATTGTAGATTTACTCATCAATCTGTTCAATAAGTGTATTCATGATTCATTGATCGTCCAAAATAATAGTACATATATTTATGGTTGAATTCTTGTGTAGCGATGTATTTTCACACAAATTCCATTAATACATTGAAATGAACTTGAAAAAATTCAAGAATGAATAAATCAATAATATTCTAATTTGTTTTTTTAGGTGCCTGCTGCGTAGGACATTTGCCAGCAGGATGGGCAAGCTCTTGTCAAAAATCTTTGGCAACAAGGAGATGCGCATTCTCATGTTAGGCTTGGATGCAGCTGGAAAAACTAGTATCCTTTTTTATCAAAATTTATTACAATTTTTAAACCTAATCAATACTTCATCATTTACTGAGGTACTTACTATTTAATTTCAAACTTAAACGGCACTTCATCATTAATTGAGAAATTTACTATTTGATTAATGCAAAGATAAATTAAACAAGTAATTATGAACATTTATAACACTATTATTTTATCTTTTATCTGCCATGCTGTAACTTTATCTTCAAAATATTTTTTTTGGTACTGCAGGTAAAATACTGCAACATCTTTTTATTCATTCGATTGTAGAGCTGAAAAAAGTATGCAGAAAAGCATTGTCATGCATGAATCATAATTGCATAAATATTCATATGAGTATTTCAAACTTATATGAATCATATTATTCACAACCTCGAACTGTTTTACCCAAACATACCTCTATATAGATTTTTGTGCATATTCTTCCTTATCCTTTTTTTAACAGCTATTTTATACAAACTCAAATTAGGACAGTCAGTTACAACTATACCTACTGTTGGCTTCAATGTGGAAACAGTGACATATAAAAATGTGAAATTCAATGTCTGGGTTAGTAAAATATTTACCTTACTGCTAGATGAAATTTACATAGCAAATTTTCATGATAAAATTTTTTTTTTTACAGGACGTAGGTGGACAGGATAAAATCCGTCCTTTATGGCGACATTACTATACAGGAACACAAGGACTTATTTTTGTTGTAGACTGTGCTGATAGGGATAGAATAGATGAAGCACGCCAGGAGCTACACCGAATCATAAATGATAGAGAAATGCGAGATGCCATTATTCTAATATTTGCCAATAAACAGGATCTTCCAGATGGTGAATTTTACTATCATTTTAATTGAAAGTACGATATATTATAAGATATGAATGATGTTACATTACTTTTTTTTTAATTTCAGCTATGAAACCACACGAGATCCAGGAGAAACTCGGTCTGACGCGGATACGCGATCGAAATTGGTTTGTTCAGCCGTCTTGTGCTACAACGGGGGATGGACTTTACGAAGGACTCACGTGGTTAACTAGTAATCACAAGTTATGAGCAATAGTTCAATAGATAAGTCATCTGGACAAATTAAACACCATTACGTCAATGTTTACAGCCATGTGTGTTAATGCTTTTCGCTGCTACCACGTTTTGATTCGTGTGTAGCAAATACACAGGACAATATAGTGATTAAGTGTACAAGATTCTAAGGACATGTGAAAAAAGTAGATTAGTGCAAGATGTGCGTGATCGGTTATTGTATATCAAATTTACATCCCTGCCATCCTTCTCACCCTTTTCCTAGGGTTAGTTCAGATTTTCTTAAATTTTATGCCAGGGATATTACGTGTAAAAAGTTATTTATAAATGTAAAATTCGTTAACGTATAGCTCTGAATACATATAAAATATTATATATCACTCTCCTTCCCTCCGAAAAAAGCGTATCCTTTTTGAAAGATATAATGTCCAAAAGAAGTTTGGACGTATTAAAAAAAAATAACAATACTGTATGACAAAGTAAGCAAAAAGCACGAAGTTATAATATTGCGGTATGTAAGAAATTAATTATGTGCACAACGTGACTTGTTAAAAAAACGTCTGATATAATTTTGCTTTTTATTAGCTTTTGTACATGCATTTTTTCTATATTTTGTTTCCATTTGTACAAGCATATAAAAATTATATTAAAAAATTTGAGACATCGAGAGTATGTATGATAAGAAAATCATACAATACCAATATTTATTAATAAATGAACAATGAAAATTGACACATTAATAAAATCCTGACCACTTTTCATCCAACACTTCCAGTTATACTTGTTATCAATGTAATATTAAATGATATTATTGTGAACAAACCGAAAGGATAACGATGATCAAACTAAAAATCGTATTACAGTAATAAGCGAGGTATAAAAAAAAAATGAAAATATTTTAGAGATTATTTTTTATGTGTCATTCGTCGAAATAATTAAATAGGTGCTCGCATAATGGTTCGAGTATTCGTTGAAATCGAAATGTATAAAGACCGTTTCATAGTTGTTAAGGAGATAAGAAAGAAAAAAATCATTATTCGCGCTTATGAGAATCGAAAGGTCTCCAAGTTATGATTCGATTATATCTATATTATAGAGCTGAAATTTCAGAAATCTCATGTTTTAATTAAGATCTGCTAAACGTAGACTGTCATCGACTTTTAATAATACGCTAGACTCAAAACATTAATTGTACATCAGTGCCACTCATTTTGCTGAAATGTTGACTTAACTTCAATTGTCGTCGACTTGTAATTCGAAAAAAAGACCAATACGATCAATCGAGATTGTATTATATTACAGAAAAAGTGAGCAATGATTGTGGTCAAAAAAGACGCAAAAACATCTGTTGAAATAAATTACTAGTAAAAGACACTCATTCGTTTTTCACGATCATAATGTAATGGTTAATAAATAACAATGCCAATTGTGGCAGTAGATACATTGTATAATCTGACGAGATGTGATAGTTGATTTTGACTTTTTCACACGAATGAACATTCACTCGTCATGTCTTCTTTGATAGTCAAGCGTTAATTTTACTGATGATGAACAATGTATAATAAAAACAATATCTATTTGAGCACGCAATTGTAATGTGTTCGATATTAATGAGGAAACCGCAACCGGAAAGTAGCAACTCAAATAGATTCTCTGACTGTCAATAATTTTGAAAAAAATTCTCAAACATGTATACATAGTATAAATATTCTCTGTTGGTGAATGCAGCAAAACAAGTGTTCGACGCACTTATAATTTATAGTCAATGGGATAGATATAATTTAAATATACTAAAAAATGATATAGAATCGATTTTTAGGAAAAAATGTTAACGCTTAGAATAACGAATGTTGATGAGAATCGTTATTTCGAATTTTTTATAAGATAAAAAAAAACCAATAACATGTATTGCAATAGATTGTAATTCGTTCGAGAGACGATAAGTACATGTTGTTAAATCGAATATTTTGTAAAGGATTATTCAAATCTTTATTTGCGAATCGGTGAAAGATTGTGAGAATGAATATTAGAAAAAAAAGGAGGTGTTCACGCTTGATAATTTACAATTTTTTATAAATCTATATGTGTACTCCTTTTTAGAGTAAAAAAAGAAACGAGAAAAACGAAATTATCGTCGAGTTGATGAATCTGATTGATGATCGTGTTACATTCCACAAGCGCCATGTACAACTTAATTAGGTTTAAAGATGGAAAAAAATAACGATTGTCTATTACATAATTTACATAAAAAAACGAATTTATTGAATGATTTGCTCGAAAGTAACATATACTATATACATTTCCCTACTAAGCTTTCTTTACGCAAACGAATGGCTAATGTATTTTGATAAATTAGTTTTTCCTACTTCGTTATCGTTTGCATTTTATGTACGATAATTACTTTTGAAGGTACATAAATTATTATACTATAAAAACTCACTACTGGTCTATGTATAAAAGCTTCTACAAAAAAATCAGCTAACCATGCAAAACAGAAAAAAAAGAAAATATGTCAAAAGCACAAAACGCAATCAAAGTAACGTTATAACGCGAACGTCATAATTTTCTTTAGCCTTTTTATTTCTTAAAACAGAGAGACAGAGAACGTCGAGAAAATGGTGAAGCACTTATTATGGAAATAAATGATAAATCGTCATTAAAAACGCATTCTCATATTTTCTGCCACCCGCACACGCATACGGCAAATGTTTTCCTTCTCACAATTGGTATTCATCGAGGAGAGAAAGAAAGAGAGAGGGACACATCGCAGGAACGTCCGTTTCTTACAATGTATATAATAAATCAATCGCGGAAATTGAACGCGTCGATCGATCGCGGACATCTCTCGTTGCTGCTTCTGCTGCTGCTGCTGGCGGCGGTCCACGTCACGTTCGCGTGGTGCGGCTGCGTTTTATATACATACATATATAACTAAACGCAGAAACGAATGCATTAAATATTGAAACGAACATTTCTTTTTTTTTTTTGCTTTCATTTGCATTTCGTGCGTACAGCTAACTGGCAGGAATGTAAATAAAGTATGAAATATCTATGTTACGGAACGATCTCGAAAAGATTAATATTTTGCACGTGCTAAATGATGACAGGAAAAAAAACTCGATCCCGTAACGACGCGGTGAGAATTTGAAAGACAGGAATTAGCTGCCGGTATAAATCTATTAAGCATCGGTAATTAAATTTGAGGATCAATTATTCAAACTTCTCGCGCAGTTTTTAACCATCCGCGGGGGAATCGACGCAGCATTACAAATCATCCGAGCGTTCATTTGTCGGAATTAATTATCTGCCGTCGTCGACGTCGTAGTGGCGCGCGAGAGAGGACAGGATGCGATATATAATATTGACACGAGAGACCGGCGTGTCGTTATATACATGTAATATCACAAAAGCGTCGCATTTTTATCATCGGCTCTGTTGCTCGAACGACGCCCATGACAATATTCGCAGATATATACATTAGCGGTATAGTAATAATGATACGTAATGAGATTATCGAAGTGGATTTTTTTTTCAACGCCACTCGCGAAATGCGAGCCGAAAGAGGAGTTTTTCGCGCGCCGAAATCCGATTATACGAGAAGTACAACAACAACAACGACGACGACGAGAGTGAGAGAAACGAAATAAATAAAAAAAAAAAAAAAGTCGTTTAGCCATAGGTGTGCGCGAAAAGTCTGCCCAACCCACGGCGGTGGTTACACGCGACAACGCAACAACAGCAGATCAGCGCACCGAACTGTGTGCAGCCATAGCTACACATGCATGGCAACGTACTCGCAAATGCGTTCTCTTATTTTCCCCGAGATTTTCCGCACTCGTCGCGATCAACCCTTCCCACCCCCGCCCCCGCGTAATGGTGTATAGCCGCAAACAAATCGTAAATCCCTCGCGGCGATTTTAACGCTCTACATATCTCTCTCTCTCTCGGTACCCGTTCCACATATATATACATATAAATGTACGTACGGATGTTTTGCTCGCGTCGCACTGTATGCTGAATGTATACAAACAGGCGTTGCGCGCGCGATAAGCGCTTATATACTTCGTATATTATGTACGGAACGAATACGGAAAATGAGCGCGCGACGCTCGTTTCGCGCGTGGATCTACGTTTTTTTACCCTTCGCTATTGTATGATTATTATGTGGGGGCTCAAATTTGACTTGCGAATTTTGGAATTTAACAAGGCGCGTTAATCACTAGAAGATATAAGCAATGTAAAGTCCCTTTATGTATTTAGCATTTGTTATGCTCTTGCGAGTTCAGATCGCAGCAATATCGACATCTACGATGAATTCACAAACTAAATATTCCATCTTGACGAATTCGTTTGATGTTCGAAGATTTTTTCTTTGTTAAAATAACGTTTCAGTAAAACATCATTAAATTTTCAAAATTTATTTCTCCACGCGAAAACAAAAGGAAATTTTTGAATAAATGTTTTCATAGAATTTGCTATTATTGAAAGAGCTTGAAATTCAAATGAAATATAGTATATATTTCAACAGGTGCATTAATGGTTTTTTTTAGCCAAACGAGGGATTATAGTACGGAGACAAGTGAGCTGTAACGAGTTTTGTTAAGAAATTGTTAAAAAAGTTAGCGTCGAAGTTGCGTATTTTAGATAAGAGTGGGAAAAATATAATTGGAACACTTTACTACCGGATAAAAAAGCTCAACTTCAATAATGACCTTATGTTTTGAAGTTTATAATAATTTGCTGGTTTGTTTTTTTTTTACGATTTTTCCCTTATAATTATGCTAAAAATATAAAGAGTATTTAAAATGACAATCTAATTGTTGAGAAAAATTTAGACAAGTGTTCAACCACTTTAAATACGATGACACTACTTTGAGCCTTTGCCACTAGATGGCTAGTATAACTTTATGTTCGAATCTGTAAGTGACAAAGTAAAGTTATTTGTATAAGTTTAAATCAAGAATTTGAAAATTTGAACTAAACTCTTCTGATTTTTCTAAACTTTTCAGAAAGGGAAAGAGAACGAAAAAGAGTTATACGCATATGTACACGATGATCCTCGAAAAAAGACATTCGCAAGCACTCGCGAGTCGATATAATTAATGTGCTCGCACATAAGCTGCTTATATATTATATCCGCACACACACGCGTGGGCGAGGGAAATTACATCGTTACGTATATACTAACGGCTGCTGGAGACGTGCCGCGCATGTATAGGTACTTACACCGCTCGGTTTCGCGACGAGGTGTCCGGTTTTAAATAATAAATTTCGCGGATCGATTTCTCTCGCGTTCAAGCGCCGATATAAGTCGTTTTCTTCCGACTTCTGTGCGCGCGCGCTTGAGTTTTCGTCGCGCTATTATATACCTACACGCACGCAGCGGCGGCGCGCGGAGACCTGTGCAGTCGCACAAGAGGAAGAGGATGAGGAGGAGGTGCAGCAGCAGTAGTAGTAGTAGTAGTCGCAGTAGTAGTAGTCGCAGTGGGTGGGGACACAAGGCGAGAAACCCCATAAGTCGTCGCTCGTCGAATTTTCTCTCGTTCTCGCTCTCTCGATGTGTCCTATAGCCGTATATATACACGCGGGAGAGTATGACTTATACCTATATAAAAGGTGCAGGCTGCCGAATCAATAGCGTCGAAGCTCGAGCGCCTCGTCGTCGTCGTCGTCGTTGTCGTCACCCCCGTACATATATACATATATACATCGCGGGGGTGGGACACACACACACACACACACACATGCCCAACTTTATCCGCGGCACAAGGCACAGAGTTTCTTTTTCCTCGCTCACTTTTCGCCATGATCATCGTCGGGGCTCTCGACTCGCGCCGCGATCGTATATTGTATATGGTATAACGCAACTGTAGCGGATCTTGCAGGGGATGATGATGATGATGTAAGTGAGCTATGTGATCCTCTTGGGCATTGTATACAACTATCGATCGATACGAAAAAATTGTTCCCCATTGATTATCCTGTATTCGGCCTGTAAGAGTCAAGCTCGATACCGGAGGATGATTACGATTGTCTTATCCCTCGTTCTTGAGTAAGACGATTTACGCTGGCGTTCAAATTAATCGCGACTTAATTAATGAACAAAAAAAGTTTAATCGATAAATCACTCCTTGTTCTTCCACGAACGGAACGTACCGTACGCATCGTCAACTTTTTAATTTTTAAAAACATCCGAAAGAAAAAGCGTAAAAGAGCGTAAAAAAAAACATTTTTTTTCTGTACTTAACAGCAAAAGAGAGAAAACTCCATGCAGTCGTATATACACGACGCGTGGTTGGAAATTTTTTTTTTCGACGCATCATTACGTCGTACAGTGAGAATGAAAAAAAAATTCCCGAGTGTGCCACGTCAACGAAAAAAAGCACGAGAAAAAAAAGAAAATGATTTCGAAATTCATCAACTTTACCGACTTTATTTTTTTTATTTTTTCGTTAAAATGCTCTAGTTTGTATAAATACGCCGCATGCATAACGATGTGTATATTATATCGCTTGCCATGCCGGCACAACTACGCTATAATATATCTATAGAGTAACGCGGGGAAAAGCCATGGCAAGCGAGAGCTAGAGCGCGGAGGGACATTAATACATGGTCCGAAATTTATTCCGATGTTACCGTTAACATTAAATTCACTGGGCAAAGTAGTCGGGCATACACAAAACGGGGTTCGGGCGGGCCGCGTATACCGGCGATGCAGCAAACAGCAGCAGCAGCAGCACGCACTACTCCAACAGCGGCGGCAGCAGCAGCAGAAAAAGCAGAGAAAGCGAGAAAATGGGGAGGAAAAGTCGTTGGGCTATGAGCGTTTATTATCTACCCCCTTACCCCTCAGCGCCTCGACGTGTGCTGTGCACGGTGTGCAGCGTCGCGTAGGCAGAGAGCTACAACTTTTGGCTCGTTTTCTCTCTCTCTCCCTCTCGCACTCCCTTTTTTTTCCTCTTTCTCTTTCTCTGCCTCGACGCGCAGAACCCCACACGCACTCACACTTACGGAATATACGTGTATACATAGATATAGTATGATAATGTTTATTGCGAAACAAGCCGTTCGCGTGAGATTTTCACGTCTCAGCTTTGGCAGTGGTAGCAGTAGCACGACTCTATATACCAATAGGAGATTAAAAAAAAAAAAAAAACAATCCCGTCGCAGCCAGTCCGGACCGACGTGCGCTGCGTGCGTAATTTTTCCCAATAATTTTCGGGCTCGTTTCAGCGCGAAATAATAGACACAGC